GCAGAGAACTAACGGAGGAGGCAGCTTTAGGTAGGATGTGAGCAATTGATTCATTCACCATAGCAACAGTAAGGTAGGAGGTCAGATGTTTCCAATAAAATGAAAATGACAACATGTAACAGAGTTTCTTAGATTTCTTTGAGGCCCATGGTCTGATATGTCTAGCTGTGCTGGATTTCTGTTTCCTGATCTGTAAAAATTGGGGAGAACAGTAACTGTCTTATAATATTATTGAGACAATGAAAAGTTAATTGTCTATTTTAGAGCTTAGAAGAGTGATTCTAGTATAACAACAGACTGGTCAAAATGTTAAATGTTCTTCGTGTTGCTGTTATTATTATTACTGTTATTATTACATTAATTGTGTCTGGCCCAAATTATATGCTTCTAATACTTGCATTTAATTTTATAGCTCCTTAGCATCAAATAAAATGCAGTTCTGGGGAGAAAGAGCAAGTTGTCAACTGTGATATGGTTTGTTTAACACAGTTTCTCTAATGCAATTTTGGCACATTAATTCTAGAGGGGCTATAAATCTAATCAATTCTGATTTTGTTAAAGTCTTTGAAAGCAGTGTTACATTCTAGGAGCCAAATGCTTATCTCAGAGTAAACAAATAGGGAGCATTTTAAAATTCAATATTTGCTACATTTTTTGATTAGCAAACAGAAGGAATGGATGCAATCAATACTTGGGCTCCCTGAGCAAAATGTATTTATTACCTCTTGATACTTGGGTTTATCTCTGTTGCTGCCTGATCTCCTTGGTGATCTTGGCACTGCTGTTACCCAGCTCAAGTCTGTCCTATGGCCTTTCAATCTTTCACTCTTGCTTCCCCACTCTTTACACCACATAAACTTTGCTATCCACAGAGCAGTGATCTTTTAAAACTGTGTATCGGATCAGGGCACTATGGCTTAAAACTAAAACCTCCAGTACATTTCTGAAACAAAACAAAATGCAACCCCTCTCCATGGTTTAGAAAACTCTGCTGAGCTGGCCCTTACCCACACCTCCAACCCATCTCTCACCACTCTTTTGGTGCTCCCTATAGATTGCTCCCTATGTCCAAATCAGCATTCTGTTCCAGGGATACACTGAAATCTCTCTCTAATCAGGGTTCTTTGTTCTTTCTGCTCCTTCTGTGTAGAACATTCATCTCCTAGTTCTTCACACGACTGCCTTATTATCATTTATGTCTCAATTATCACCTCTTCAAAGAGGACATCCTGACCTTCCGTGGAAGCAGTTCTGCCTTCCCCCTGCCCCTAGTTTTATTTCATTCATCCCACCTATCCTCAGCTGATGGAGTCTTGACTGTTTATTTTCTGTCTTGTTGCTAGAATGGAGGGATTTTAATATATTACATGTAAAATTTAGATGTTTTTTCTTCATCCTTTTATTTACATTGAATAGAAAGTTGGAGCTCACTAAATTTAATAGGAGGGATAAGTAATTTCCAGTTCCTGTATTTTTACAGATGATTTACTTAAACTTTGATAGGACAGAGTGACTTTGGACTGTTTCGTAGGTTTTCAGTTAGCTAACTGAAGGAATTATTGTATCAACCATTTATTCCTTCATGCCTTAAATCACACAGCCAACACACTACTTATTTATTTTTCTTTTACACTCCATAATCTAACTTTGTATAAAGTTTTTTTATCCAACTATTTCCTGGGTATTATATATTATATACAAACATAAATTAGAATGATTGCAAAGAACATAAAATTTACAGTCTCACTTAATGCCTGATAACAGAGAAAATAGTAAAAGTTTTCATTTTCCTGGAAAAGACTATCTAATATACTGCTTAAAATATTAAATTACATATTCATAGATATTCAGAGAAACATCCTTTGGGAAAATATAAACTGAATTCAAGACTACTCACATAGATAACTGAAATGAGTTATATATCCAGAGGTGATCATGATGAAATTGAAGATGCTTTTTTTAAGGGCAAGTAAAATCGAAGGCAAGTATAGACAGAGGAAGAAAAAGTAAATGACACCACTGAACTCAGAAAGTCTGTGATAATGCATACCTTATTCTTTCTGATCTACCTTTTGGGTAACTAAGGGATTCATCTAGAACTCTGTAAGGAGAGAAGAATGGGGGACTGAGGACAAGCATAGGACTTTTTTTGGAAAGAAATGATTTTTCTTTTAAAAAAAGAAATGCTTTTATTGAACATACTGAGTGCTATTATTGCCCTCATTTTGATGAGAAAATGGAAGCTGAGAAGTACCTTGATCTATATAAGGTCAGAGAGAAGTGTATGACAGGTGTTGGATATGACTTCAGCCTAACTTATATGAGAATGCTAATGAGTTGACATTATTTCAATGGGTTAACCCTGATTTTTGTCATTTACATATTTTGATATGAAATGCTAGAAGTCAGAAAATAATCCTATTAAAGTCATTTCTTTTTTGTTACTTCTTCAACTCTAAAAGTTAATGGTTCATTTTAAAACTAAATGTCTTTTTGTCGAGAATTAAACTTTGAAAGTTCCTCAACGGAATATCAAATAAATTATTGTATCTCTCCCTCTGACTCCCTGCTCCCTTTTCTCTCCCTTTGTGGGGGAACTGCTGGGAATTGAGCCTGGGGCCTTGTGCATTCTAACACTGAACTATGCCCTCAGCACCAAAGTTCTGGTAACTCTATATTCCCCAAATTTTGATGTAAATAAAACAAATGAGCTCTATCCTTATAGGTTGCTCTAGAAGGATGCCCCTGGGATACCATTATGTGAAAACAGCAGCATACAGATGTATAAAACGATCCTGGGTTGTTAATGTGTGTAGAAGTACAGAAAGATGTGTTGTATACTCCCAGCATTGTTACCTAAATGAATGAGGAAATCTATTATTAATTCATCCTCATACATTTTTTGTACATGATCTATCATAATAAGCACAAGGTTATTTTTGTATCTAATAATGAATATACATTTTTCCACATTATTTATTTCTCAGTATAGTACTCCTCTGTGCTCCAGTGGTTTTAGCACATGATCTCATTTCTAACCTTAACTTTTTTTCACTCTTCTTTCAACCAAAGCACTCCATTGTTTGTTTTACACATTTAAGCTTGCTGTTGAGATTTCCATGGAACAATAAATTTCCCAGCAAAATAAATGTGACATCCTTTGGTTCACGTTACCTGAGTCACTGGCAGGCCTCACAGTCTCTTAGTAAAACCAGCTATTGGATACATAGCCTTTTATCACATGTACAGGTACAGTCATGAGATTGTGCATTACTAATATAAATATTTATATATTTATAAGAAATTCCATGTTTCTCTTTAGTATAGGCAACATACAAATACAATTTGAAGGTTAAATATGAATAAGTTTGGTCTCCTTAAATTAAAAACCATTCTGTGGATGTCAGAGTGAGCAAGAATAGTATTTTGTAGTCTACACCTATGATAATGAAATCATTAGATGAAGAAACTTGGAAAGAAAAATTCTAGACGACTGTTAAAACATTATCCTACAGTTTAAGAGGGTTCTGATGTAGTTGAAAATGGAGAGAATTAGAAAAGTCAAATCTTAACCAAACATAAACTATTACTTATCTAGGAAGCTCCCACAAAAAAATACATCATTTCCCCCTCCAGTCTATTTCAGAATAACCAGGAAACAGCTTAACTCAGTCTTCTGTTAAAATCCTAAGACCAATTCCACAAAGATGTAGGAGACTTATTATTTTTACTCCTACTTCAGCACTACATTAATCAACTCACTACATTCCACTGTTCCAAACCTGGGAAGAATACATAACAACTCTATAGTTAGTATCGTTTGCAGTAAATTAAACTTAATTCAACACACACTTAATTGAGTGCTCACTAGAATTCAGTGTACCATCTAGGTTTTGCAAAACTCTTGAAGATGTTTGGAATAAGTTCTACTCTCCAGGAACTGAAGATTTTGCAAAGAAGATACACTTAGAAACAACACACAATATGAGATGACAACTCTATAAAACATCAGTAAAAATGTAAAGAATAGGGATCACAGAATAGAGATTTAATTACACTTACTTCTAGTTTGGGCAATAAGAAGCTTCTGGAAAGACGTGACCTTTCAGTTGAGGCTTAAAGACCAAGCAGGATTTGGGCAAAAGTGTGAAGAGTTGGGGGTAGGGGGTAGTGCCATGGTGAAAGAGCAGGGAATTGCCAAAAGCAGTATGTGATAATGGATACTAAGGGTGAAGTTTGCTTATATGATGAAGGAGAAAAGAGATGAGGAAGGCAAGGATGTTTAGGACCAGACCAATGATGGCCTCCAGTGAACATGATTCAGGAAATGCTTTAAACCACATAAAGGTCTATGCATACATAAGAAAGAGCTTGCTTCTGCTTGGGCTCTCCTTTTATGATTACAAGTATCAACATCTTCATTTTTATTTAATGTGAATAAGACAGAATTTTTAAAGAAATTTGAAACAGACATTTTATTACATTAGTTTACATAGTTCATTTATTGGAAGACAGCAGTCAGTGAATCTTTCATTGAAATCAAGGAACAAAAGATGGGTTAAGCTACTTGGTCAGGGAGTTTGGAAGCCATTGGAAAAATAATGTCATCCTGAGACAGAAGTGAGACTAGGAAAAGGATGACAAAAAGTAGGTAGCCAAAAGGTATTATTGGATAATCTATCAGCACTAGCTGAAGAATGTTAACATCCCCACTCAACCTCACAACCCCAAGAATTTGCTTCTCCAAACTCAAGTTGAACATATTAATTAATATACTTCCTTTGAGTTAATATAAGCAAACCTCTATTCTCATCAGAGGAACTTCTCTAGCTCTTAGTTGGCAGGAAGAAGAGAGAACAACAGCATCTCTTTCCATTAATCTATCTACTGTCCCAACCCATGAGCTCCATCCGTTCTTCTAACCTGGAGGGTGAGATGGTCACAAAGTCTTCATATGAGAATCACCACCTTGGATGAGCTTTCATGCTTTTAAAACCTACCATTCTGACGCCATTTTCAAAGGCTTGCCGGGTGAGGGGAGCTGGTCCATCCACAGTCTTGCCATCATCATCTGGTCCCCAGCTGGCACTATAAATATGCACATGCTGGGGATTGAAGCTAACTGATTTCGCTTCTACCATGTCTGTGACATCTCCATCCAGCATTCGTACTCCTTCAAGACAGAAAGGAGGACCAGCTAGTTACAGAGCCTTCACTACATAATATCCAAGTAACCCAGATATAGGATTTGGGGGTAAAAGAAAACATCTCTAATCAACACTTTAGTAAGAATATTTTCCCTTATAAAAGTATAATGCTTGCTTTGTAGAAGTCATTTTGGGGAGAAAAGAAGTTAAATTGAATGTCAATGAGTAAGACTTCTTTAAAATCTTTTTTATTCCATTGTTATCACCCCCTACGGTTCTAATTTCTACAACGGCAAACACAATCTCTCCCTTCTCATCCCACTCTTGAGTATTTGACAAAGAGTTTCAAATCATCAACCTTTCCTAAAATTTCTTTTCACTGAATATCTCATGTTCCGAGTTGGTATATATCTTGGCAGTCTTATAAAACGTGGAAAACTGCCAAGTTAGGCTGGTCTCCTTTATTCCATATTGAATACTATCCTCTAATCTTAAAATTGATATGAATTTAATATATGTCTTTTCTGCCAAGTTATTTATAAGCCAAATAATAAATGAGAATGCATTTAACACTTCAGATAATTCTCAAAGGGTTTTAGCAATGTTTAGTTATTAATCGTGATTTAAGTATGTTTCTATCAGACAGTAGAAATTTATTAACTCTTTTTTGCAAAAGGACACTAAGATAATCAGAAATAAGTTACATGCCAAATTCCAGGCTTCCTTTTTTTTTTTTTCATTTTATGCAATCGAACTAACAAAATAACAAAAATCTAACAAAACATTCTATTGGTAAATAAATATGCTCCTCCTCAGTTTCAACTACTTATCATCACTGAGACATTGTATTATTTTAAAATTATTACCATTAAATGGCAAACTTACTCTTTAGGAAAACACTGTTATCTCAGTAGGATTTCAAGTTTTTATCGGTTATTAATAAACAGACACTAAATATTAAAGCCTCAAATCAGGCAGCTTTGGGTATTATGTGGTTGAATTGGGACTACTTCATTTAAAAAGTTTAACTATAAAACTTGCAAATAAAAAATAGGAAAAAGTGAACAATGAATACATATATAGCCAGTACTTAGAAACTGTTAAAAATTTTGCCTCACTTTCTTCATTTAAAAAATACAAATAGTCGGTTAAACTATTTGTCATCTCACACCCAGCCGACATTAAATTGTCCAAGTATCCCTATAGACACTACACTTGGTTGTTATGCCTTCAAATTCTCTGCTTCTAGACTTTTGGGTTCTGTTTTTTTGTTTTTTTTTTTAATTATTCTTAATAGGTACATAGTTGTTGCACATACTTAAGTTTTACTGTATGACATTGTGACTTTTTGGACTTTTAAAAGAAAATGATTACAAGTACTGTGGAGAATGAAGGTTGTGAATGAGTCTAAAAATTATGGGATGGAAACTACACTTAGTCTGTTAGTAATTTGTTTTGTGGCCATTGAAAACACAGGATAATACTCTGCATGTACTCAGTCCTGAATAGCCATTGGTTTATTTTAATTTAATATAAATATTCAAACTTAATCATTCCGTTTTGTAATGACAAAGAAAATACTTCATCTTCTTTTTGATTTTTGGTAATGGGGACTGAACCCACAAGTGCTTAAATGCTGAGCTATATCCCCAGCCCATTTTTTATTTTATATTTGAGACAGGGTCTTGCTAATTTGCTTGCTTAGAGACTCGATAAATTGCTGAGACTGGCCTTGAACTTACAACTCTCCTGCCTCAGCCTCCTGAGCTGCTGAGATTTCAGGCATGTACCACCATGTCCCTGCTTCTGACTTTTTATTTAAAAGCCTAAAATGAATCTATTTTACCAGTACATTGAGGTCTGGGAAAAACAAACAAACACTATAACTGTCTGAAAATAATCTCAGGAGTGTGTGCAAATGCTAACATGAGAATATCAACACAACACCTCAATTCAATTTCTGTTGTAATCTACATGAAGTACATGGAAAAAAAATGGGGGAAAAGATTGCTAAGTTGCATTCAGAAGGTAATGGCTTTCTGTCTTAAAAACTCACAAAAAAAAATTTCATCAACTTTATAGATGAAAGACTGCTTCTTTTTCTCATTTAACTCCATGCCTTCATGGGCTGGAGGGGTTAAGTTTATGATTCAGAATGCTCTTGTTTAGAACATTCTTGAGTCATCGCCACACATTCATTTTTTAAATAAAGTACTGTTCAGCTAGGTCAGCAGTTTATCTGAGTTCACAAGTTCATGCTCTCATTCCTTCAAGGTCAGTAAGAGTGCTGAGTCTGTGCTAGAGTATAATTGTGGGATCTGGGGTCTAAGTCTGTATGTGAGGACGAGTCCTGGGCTGCAAGACAGGTTCACCAGGTGGTTCCTGATTGGACTCTGGGATGAGCAGGGGCCTCCAGTGGCCATCATCCTTTAGGGAGCATCCTTGGCTTCCTTTCCTGAGCTCCCCAATGGCCTTCCCCCTGACACACAGCAGGGATTCCTGAGTGCAGCTAATTACTGATCAGTAAACTGTCATACCCTAAGAACTCAGGGTGAAATAAATGAAAGGAAAAGATCAAATTTACCATGGACTGAAATTCAAGGTAGTTTCAGGAAACCTTTTCTTAGCACTATTGTTGTATATCACCGTCCCCTCTTATCTGTGGCTTTGCTTTCCCTGATTTGACAACAGCCAAGGTTTGATGATATTAAATGGAAATTTCAGAAATAATTCATTTTTTAAATAACTTTTGTCATAGCTTATTGTGAAAATTGTCCTATTTTATTATTAGTTATTATTGTTAATCACTTACTGTGCCTAATTGATAAACAATATTGTTAATATTTAAATACAGGACAAAAAAATATGCAGGGATCAGTTCTCTCAGTGCTTTCAGACATCCACTGGAATCTGAGATAAGGGGACACTACAGTTCCCTAAATATTTAAAATTTTTATCTCGGATAGAGTTGCCATCTAAAATTGTTAGTTCCAACTCTATTTATAATATGGAAACAAACGACACATTGGAAACAAGGAGGTCAGCCTGGTTTCAGAAAGTTCATTCATCTTATGGGAGACCTTTCAGCAGACCCTATGGGAATGCCTTCAGGCCAGGCATATTGATCAGTCACCAGGCTCTGTAATATAAGCTTTTCTTCCCATTTGCATGTAGCTGTGGCACATAGTTATTGCTTACAAAGATGATTACAAATGAGAAAGTTAAGAGTTTGCTTTTATCAATACTTGGATTTACACAGCATTTATGGGACCCTTATACCAAATTTATGTAATCTGAGTTTGTGCATCTGGAATCATTCATGGAAACAGTATCACTACGTTATGAGACTTTCAAAGATTTTACTCTTACTGCTTTAATTATAGTTAAAGGAACCCTTTTTAAATCTTGAGCAACACAACACACAAAAAAGTATTATCTGCTGTGAAGAACCTCAAAACACCTCATTCCATAGAGACATGATGACCTGATGTTTCTACTATTAGTTCTTTCAGAAACAGGCACCAAGTTTGTGTTTTAGTATAGATACCAATAACCCTGTCTTCATTACTGAATGACATTTTTTTAAGCCTGTTCAAAAAACGATGTGTCTGCAATACTTTCACATTTAGCATCAGCAATCCTTAAGTATACTGAACAACCCATGTTAACGTGTTGTTTTGGTTTTCTTTTGTTTTTTACTGTCAGCAAGAGTTGAATACTGTCATGCAAAAATATGCCCATCTTTAGTTTTAAAAGGATTCTGAAAACTATTTAGCAGAAGAGTTGCCTGGTTCATGTCTATATCTAAGTTTGTTTCCCATACCTCCGATCTTGGCGTTGAAAGCAATTCCAACTGTGCAGTGAGAGTTGTTTGCAGCGGCTGCCACTTCTCCAGCACAGCGGGTCCCATGCCTGCAGGCAAAACACACACACTTTCTAAAGTAAGACACTCTACTCTCACAAACTCAACAAGTCATTGCCAACACTCAGACTTCAAAGTGGTAAGGAAAGTATCCAGCTGTGGATGTTTCTAGAACTTCCTACCCAAGTAGCACATAGTCTGTCTATGGCAAATTTTTAGCACTTAATTATGCTATTTTGAATTATATTCTTGATATGTTTATTTTTGATATCTCAGTGTCTCAACAAGAAAATCTCCTTAAGGGCTAAAACCAAACCACATGTTTATTTCTATTCTCCAAACCAATAAGGCAATCAATATGGCTGCCATCAGCCTTGTGTGGTTTGGGGACATGTCAAATGTAGCTAATGCAATCTTATTTTCTAATTTTATTTAATTTTAATTAAATTTAAAAACCTAATAATTTAAGTATTATAAAATTTAAGAATGTAGGTATGAAAATATGCTTTTTAAACTGTCAACTTAAATACAGATCAAGTATTTCCAGTGAAAATTTATTATCTAGAATGGTATGTGCTTTAAACACAGTGGGTTGCAAAGGTTCTATATAAAAAGCAAATATCTCATTAATAACTGTTTTAAATCAATTGCTTATAGAAATATTTTAAACAAAACATTATGAAGATTTATTTCACCTGTTTGTTTTCACTTTTTTGTTACTTTTTTTTTTAAAATGGGGCTGCTAGAATTTTTATTTGGCCTTGAAAGGCATTCGCTATTATTTCTTGCCACAACAGCTCTGTTCCTTGACTAGAAAGATCTTCCAGCTGAAAGAACTTCTAAGATCATCTGGTTTTGTCAAAGGATGGCAAAGAAGATTCATGTACAAAGCACAATCTATTTAGAAGTCCTGAATTAACACATTGTTTTGAGAAGAATGGTGAGGCAGAACTGAGCCTAGAGAAAGAATACTAAGACTGCTGTCTGTCATGTTGCAGAAGACAGAGGCAATGACTATCATTATGCAGAACTGCTAATGCTAATGAAGTCCAATACCCATCTCTCACCTCAACTTAAAACATGAGAACCCGTAGAAGGAAGGACCTGAGAAGTAAAGAGATATGTTGAAGCAGGATAGTTAGCAGAATGGTGACTTTAAAACTCAAGCCCCCAATTCCATCTCTGCTTTTTATTTTATATAACAGTTGCCTCTCACCACATTTATCATGAGATATGACTATACCGTCTGCATAACTATAAACTATTGCTTACAACACATTGTATACATGCAAGTTTACACAAAAGATATATATTGCTTTTTCTTTCATATAAATATTAATCTACATATAATTTTAATGGTGTTATGGCTGGATGTGAGGTGTCCCCAGAAAGCTCATATGTGAGACAATGAAGGAATGTTCAGAGATGAAATGATTAGACTATGAGAACGATGTGTCCTTGCATATTATGTTATCTCTGGCTTATTGCACTCAAACTGTCTTTGCTTCCTGGCTGTCTCAAATTGATCAGGTTTCCTCTGCCATACCCTTCTGCCATAAAGTTCTGCTTTATCTCTTGTTCAGAGTAATGAACTCAGCTGATCATGGACTTAACGAACAAAATTGTGAGCCAAAATAAACGTTTCCTCTTCCAAGCTGTTCGTCAAGTACACTGGTCACAATTACACGAAGCTCACTAACACAAATGGTTACTGAATGGTTTTATGTGTGTGTGTGTGTGTACATATATGTGTGTGTATATATATGTGTGTGTGTGTGTGTGTGTGTGTGTGTCAAATGTAGCTAATGCGACCTTATTTTCTAATTTTATTTAATTTTAATTAAATTTTATACATACACATATACATTCACACACACATATACACATTTCACTCCTGGATATAAATTCCTAGAATTGCTAGGTTCACAGAATACATTGTCAAATTGCTAACAGCATTTGAAAGGAATATGACAAAACTATAGAAAACTTTTGGGATCAAAAATATTATTACAGAACAGGAATTTTTTTGCATGCCCAAGGGGGAGGGGGAGAGACAAAATAAGCCAAAATGAATGACACTATGAAAAGCAGAGAAAATATCTGGATAAACCCTGTGTGCATAAACCCTTGATCTGGGCTTTTCTGTCTCTTTTATCCTGGCCCATCTGACATAACAATATCTCATCATTGGTTCCTTCCCTGATTACACTTGATGCAGACCATCTTTTAAAATATTTATTATTTTTATTTCTTGTTCTATAAATAACTTTCATAACCTTTATCTAAATTCTGTACCGACTCTCCTGTCATATCTGCTATAAATGTGATTTCAGATTTGCAAAGTAACAATCATATTTAGGGCAATCTTCTGTTGTCATACACAGTATTAGATTTTCAGGTATTCAAAATAATCTTGTCCTTCTGGTATTTGGTCATATCATTTTCATCACCAGAAAAATAGTCAGTTGCTAAAAGAATGATTTCTTCTGTAAGCCCCAAGCTCAACTAATAATTTCCCCCCAAACCTAGAAATTATTAACTGTAATTCTTCATTAGTCTTATTGTATGTTAGTTCATGGTGTAAGTTATTTATATTCAAATGTCTAATTCCCTTAGTGAGTCCACTCTTCTTACAACGAATGTATCTATTATTAATTAATGCCAAATGCAAATGGACCAGAAGGGCCTCTATTTTTAAATTCTCTTCTGGTTTTCTCCATGAGTTACTTACAAGTAATACTTTCAAATATATACGGCAGCTTTTTGACATTAATAACTTGACTACTTCTGATAACAGAACATAATTTCTGAGTCAATTCCCTATATTTTGTGAGACAAAATGGCCAAATTCATGAACAGTGTTAAATAAACATTTTTTGTGCTTGAAAAATATGTGCTATATATTGTTTGATTGTTCTTTATATATCCATTATATTAAGCTTGTTTATTGAATTTGTTAATGTTCTTCACAGTTCTACCAACTTTCTATTTAGAATGGAATTATTAATCTTCCTAGTGAAACAAACCATTTATGAACCCGTAACAACAGTCTAAGGATCTTGTAGAAAAAAACAAAAAGATAACTAGTAAATATTTAACTTGTACTTTATTTTTTTACTTTCAAACATTCTATGTTCAGATTACTTATGCCTTTAACAAAAAAAAAAGGTTTCTTTTAAAGGTAGATAAACTGTCTTTAACTATAGATAAGTCCATTTACAGGAGCTGTGTTAATGGATACATTCACATTCATTTCTATAATCTCCCTTGGCATCCCTGTGTTAGTTTGATCATCATGTTTTGTATAATTTAGTGGTAATCCTGGATATTTCATCATGTATACCTAAAAATGTGAAGCCTAAAGTCATCAATAATTTTTATTCATTTCTCAAACAAGGCAGACTCTTTAGAATGTCTGAACTCTGATTATCCATCTCTTATACCCATGTATAAGTTTTCTATGATTATAATTATACTTGGATTTTTTTTAACCCTAGAAATTACCATTATCGATGCTACTCTGAACAATCAATTTTGTATAGATTTATAAATACATTCTTTGACCTATTTATTTTTGTATTTCATACATCCTTCTGGAATCTTGATTTCTTTCTGCAGAACATTCTCTAGGGCTGGATGTTGCTCTGTGGTAGAGTGTTTACCTAACACGCACAATCCTAGATTCAATCTCCAGCAACCACAAAAATAAATAATACATAAATAAATAGAAAAAATTAGAGAAAATACTTTGTAAATATACTCTTAAGAGTCTTTTGTTAGTCAAAAGTCTTCTTGTATCTTCAGGAAATGACTTTATTTTACCCTTCTTGAAAACAACATTTTCAGTGGACAAAAAAAGATTCCGGACCAATACCACTGTCTTCCAGTTTTCCACTGTTTCTGGTAAAAAGTGAGCAATCTGTAGAATGTTTCTTTTGGATACTTTCAAGATTTTCTCTTCAATTCTTCTGTTTTTCAGGTTCATTATAAGAAGTTGTATGTATGAATTTATAAAAATTCTTTCTTGGAATTCCTAAGCCTGTAGCTTAATTTCTAATTCCTTGGATTCTATCTCTTCTCTCTGAAAATGGCTTTTTCATTCTCTCTAGTCCTTGCTTTTGGGACCCCAGTGAAGCATCTTTAATACCTTTTCACACTACCTTAGTGACTTCTCCCAGCCTTCTCTCTGAACAGCTATCTGTTTAATTTCTTTGATTTCTATGTTTTACTTATTCCATCTTAGCCATAACTAATCTTCCTATATTATTCACTTCATTTATTGTATGTATCATTTTTGAAGTTCTTTCTGTTTTTTTTTTTTTTCAAACTGGTTTGGTTAATTCTGATGCTCTCTTTTTTCAAATGCCTTCTCAATATTCATTTCTTTAGAAATACATATTTTATCTAATAATTAGAATGACATAATATGTACCTCTAATTCTGTTATGATGCTTGCTGCTGGCTTGTTTTCTTGGTGAAATTTCTCCTATGTAGTTGGTAAATTATTGATTTAAGAAGTAATGTTGTGGGCTGGGGATGTGGCTCAAGCGGTAGCTCGCTCGCCTGCCATGCGTGCGGCCCAGGTTCGATCCTCAGCACCACATACAAACAAAGATGTTGTGTCCGCCGAAAACTAAAAAATAAATAATAAAAAATTCTCTCTCTCTCTGTCTCTCTCTTTCAAAAAAAAAAAAAAAACAAGAAGTAATGTTGCTTGAGCTTTTACCTTTGTGAATTCTTTGAGGCTAGAACAGAAAGCTCATAGTTACAAGGAAGATTCAAATTTGCTTCTGTCACATAGTGGTCATAAACCAACCAGGACCTGTTCAATTAAATTTAAAATTTGAACCACACAAGTAATATGAACTAGAGGTATTACATGAGTGCTGTATGTAAATCTTAAGGTATAGTTAATTATTCATCCTCTTGTCCCATCTGTTACCCAGGTGGAGAAAGTAAAAGATGTCCCCTGTTTTACTGTATATAGGGTTCCCCCTCCATTAAAGTACTGAAGATTTTTTTTTTGTTTTTTTTTTTTGTTTTTTTAGGA